CAGTAACCATCCATGGGCAATGGTTCTCCTTCCCCGAAAACGCTAATAAAACGAAATTTTTTTTTTTCAGGCACTTATACCGCTAACCTTGTACACACTACCGGTTCTGTTTCAACAACTGCTCGTTGGATCACCTCTGCTTTATACAGTTACGACTATTTATTCAATTGCTGCTGTGTGGGACAAGTTTTTGAGAGCTCTCATCGACCTGTGCTTTATTGGCGCTTTGCGACAGCCGATTGTTTTATTCTGCAAAAAGTTGTGTGGCAAAGAAACTCGACATCAGGTTACTGTAAAACCTTGGACAAAAGGAGAAAAAATAGACGACGTATGCCCAGTTGGTATTGCCATGGTTCCAGTGACATAAACCTGCTTTATTCGAATGTTTATATGCTTTTGGATGCTAATTTTACTTTGATACTTTCAGCATTTGTTGTTTGCTTGTTGAATTTTTTCTTGCCACTAGTGCTGCCAGCAATTGTATTCATTGTTCTCTGTTTTGTACCCCCTCTCATCTACAGTACGCATATTTTGAAACGGATAATATCATGTATTTTTGCGATCAGTGTACATGTATGCATATGGTATATTTGATGGATAAATATAAATATATATACATATGTATTTGATGAATAAATGTATCGCGTTTTCTGAAAATGTATGTATTTTCAAAACAGAACTGTGAAGTTTTTGCTTATCAGGTAGAAATTCCGCAACTCCCGGCACTGTCCTTAATTTGCCTACTCGAATAAGCATTTAAGTAAGAAGATTCTTGTAAAGAGAAGTTTGAAAGTTGATTTTCGCGCATTTTTGCAGTAGAAATTCCTCTCTTAGACTGTTAACCAGTTCCGCGATATTTCACACGCCTTCTCAATCTCCGTCACCAGTCGCGCTATATCTCGCCGCCCTCTCAATCTCGGGTCCTCCACTTCTAGTGCTTCATATTCCAAGTTAAATCAAAAGAAACAGAACCTTGACACCGACCGTTGTATTCCAGTGTTTCATATTCCACGGGCAGGACCTTATCCTACTTTGGGGGTAGTAGGCAGATGACCGTAACAGGTAATCGTATTTCTGTATTTTTCTAATTTCTAGCTTTCTTGTGAACATTTGCCAAATTAATGCGTTAATTTCTTGCTTTCTTTTGAACATTTGCTGAATTAAAGCATTTATTCTGTTCATTGACATTAAACAAACTTCTATAAATAACAACCTGTAAACGTCAAGTTGAAAATCAACACTGAAAGCCAATATTTACTCTCTGTGAAATGCAAAAGCATTCGGAAACGGTCAGGCGAAAGCACGTTCTACAATCAATCATCTACAAAGA